GAGCGAAAAGCAAAGCCCGCCCTCAACTTTCCGCCCGAGCAGGCCGGGGTGGCCCCGCGGCGCCGGCGTGTGGGCCCGCGCAAGCTGCGCGGATGAAGTTCGCCCGCGGGGTGCGTGTGTGCGGAGCGGGGTTGGAGGCCGCCCCGCGCCCTCCCTTCTGCCGTGCACCCCGGCGCTGCGCTGCGCCCCGGCCGGCTGCGCGCCCGCGGAGCGGCGCGCGGGGCCCGCGGGCGGCGGGGACTCGCGGGGCTGCAGCGCCTACTAGCCGCGGAGCGCGGCGCGGCCTTACGTAACGCGGCCCGCGCTGCGGCCGCCGCCCCCCGCGCGCCCCGCGCGGCCGCCCGCGCCGTGAGGCCCCTCACACAGAGTTTTCCTCTTTTTTTTTTTTTTTTTTTTTCTCTTAAGTTATCATCCGTGTCAGGAATAAACAGAAACTTTTTTCCTAAGGGTAGCTTTTTTTTTTCTTTTTTTTTTTCTCTCCCCCCCCTTTTTTTAAGAGTACAAACTACAGGAGAAGAGGGAAATTTTCTCATTAAAGTTACATCCCTGCAGTTAGTTCAATTACTTGATATATGCAGAAGATGTTGTAAATTTAAAGATTTAAATAGCTTACAAAGATGCCGGAGGCTCCATCAGTTAATTTCCTTAATTTATGGATTTTTAGCTGAGCTTCTGAAATGAAAAGGAGAATGAGAACTAGGTCAGCTGAGAGATTTGCATCCAGAACAGACTCAGATTTGTTTTCCTTGACCATCCCCTGGGCCCAGGTAGGTTCCTCCGCAGGGTCCTCCGCGGCCTTCGCGCCAGGGCTGCCGCGTGGCCCGGGAGGCGGCATGCGGCCCGGCCTCCGTTCCGGGATGATCCCGAGCAGCAGCGTGGCTGCCGGCAGCGCCGGGCCGGGTGCCACGCGAGCCGAAGCCGTGGCCCTCGCCGCTTGTGCTGCTCAAGAAGTGCAGCGTGAGGAGGGAGGACGGGCCCACGGGGGCTCAGCACGCGCTGCCGCTGCCGCTTTTGCTGGGGTGYGGGCAGACTGCTCGGGGTGACCTGGTGACTTAATTTTCACTTCCCCTGTGAATTACCAACTGGTAAGTGAAAAATAAGTGAGCAGCACAGAAGCATGAGGCTTYGGCGTTAAGGCGCAGTAAAGAGATGATCTAAAAACTGCGCTGAACAAAAAGGAGCTGGTTTCTGCCTCACCCCGGCTGTGCRGCAGTGGGACCCGGGGCCAATGAAGAGTTTGGGGAGCAAAGCGAGGACGGAGCGGCGCGTGGGCCGGGGCGTGCGCGCACGTGGCCGGCGGGCGCCGGGTTGCTCTGGCAGCGCTGGGACGGACGGCGCTCGGGAGCCCCGAGTTGTTCCCTCGCGGTGCCAGTGCTGAGGGTAGCGGACACGCCGCAGCTCCGCTCACACGCGGCTCTTCTCRCCCAAGCGCTCCTCTCTTGTTGTGTTGCAATATGTATGAATATATACATATGAATTAATACTTAAAAGATTGATACAAACTAAACAGTTTTAGGAAGCAACATTGCAATGTGATTAGTATTGGTGTTCATGATTTAACATTTCTTTTCCCACTAGATGAAGTTTCTAAGATTTGCAAGGTACATGTCAAGGACGGGTATATAAATGGATTTTTATTTATTCACAACTCCAAGACTAATTGCTTCTCTTTGCCTGAAGGCCAAGAGATTGGTTTTAATATGACACTTCAAAAGTATTCATAGAACTACAGAGATACTAAGTGTCATTGTTTAAGAGAGAAATCTCGCTATGGTACTTGTGACCCTGAAAATAAAATCTTCCACTTTTTATTTTAAATTCTAACGTTGTTTTTCAGAGTTTCACTTAAAGCTCAACTATTAAGAACTGTACAAAGGAAAATATTAAATAGGATGTAGTGAACAAAGGAGAAGAAGTAATTTTAGCAGGGAACATGACTTACTTTCTCAAAATTTTATTAGAGTCCTTATAAAGCAATGCAAAATTTATAGCAGCAGACTCCTGAGCTCAGTTACAGGATATAAGTAAAAACGATAGATTATAGCTTGAAAAGTTCTTGGGTAAATGTTCAGCATGTATTTATTGAGAGATTAAATACTTCAAAATAAATACTTTGCACTTTTTCTTATCAACAGTTCTTTGCATCCTATGCAAATGTTTAGAATTGAACAGCAACATTTGTGAAATGTTTCTATCTTATTATCCCATGGCTTGTTTATTCTTTTTTTTTCAGTAAACAGGTCAAAAACTTGTTGTCACTCTTAATACAGTGTGAAATAGAGGTCCAAAGATTCCTAGTTCCAATTTTTTATGCTTTTCAAAACCAACACCTTGTGCACATTTGTGGAAAATGACCAAGTCATGAAAAGATACAAATTTAAAGCATATAAACCAAAAAGATGTCCCAGATATGTAGTGAAATGGCAGATTTAAAGTGTATTGTTTACATGAAAAGAAATGAAAGGGATTTATGAATTGAAAAATATCATCAGCTTCTGTTTACACCATGGTTTCTGAACTGGAGTATCAACTTCATAACTTTAATTCTGTATTGTTCTTCTGGACCTTCTGTTGAAGGCCCAATATGAATTTATTCCAGTAGGCCTTATCTTTATGTTTTTGGTTTTTTTTTTTACTTGTATTATGTGTCTTAATTCATCTTCATCCTAACTTGAGGACTTCTTGTGTTGCGCATCTTAACCTGAGGCTTGATCCTGGCTTCCTGGTAATGATGCTGATATTCCCAGCAACTTCAAAAAGTGCGGGAAGAAATCTTTGAGTCTTTGAGACACCCCATGCTTTTACGGGCATTTTCAACTAAAGCGATAAATAAGTGATAAAATGGATCATTTAATGAAATGTTTTAATTCTATATCTTTACGTGGATTAATGCTCTTCCCATTCATGAGACCCCTGTATACAAGATAGAGTTTTATTTGGGGACAGGAATGATTTGAGTAAGAAATAGGTTCTTCAGAGCTGGTTGTTGGACTCTGGCATGGCTAAAGTCAGTAAATCCTATGCGACTTGTTTGCCTTCAGTGACGCTTTGCAGATGTGACCGAGTTTGGCCGCCCCTTGCAGAACGTGAAGATTGACCACAGCAAAGCGAGGCACGAGCCACGTGTCCCCGTGTCGTGGATCCTGTGACTCGCAGCCGCGAGGCCAAGGGACATCGGAACAGGAGGTGTGGAAAGGCTGATGCTACACATGGCGCAAAGGCTGATTCCACACGTGCCTTGAGCCAGTGGGAAAGGTTTATTCCTGTGTGAAACCTGAAATTATTAAGCACCTTGAAATTCCAGCACTTGCTACTGTCACTTGACATATAAGGAGTGAAAAAAAAAAAAAAAAAAGAAAGAATTAAGGACATCTTGCAGTTCAAGCAAGTTTTCAAGCCGGTTGCAATGCTCGTCATTCTGGAATGGGAAGTTGACCCGGGGTTTGTTAATTAAAACAAATAGTTTGCCATTCTTAGGCAGATARGGGATTTCCTGGAAACAGTAAGCATGGCCTCGTGAAGAAGAAGTCTGATCATCGGGAAATCATTGAGTCTTGTCACTCTGTTCCCTCGAATGATCTTTCTTTTCAAGAAACAGATTACCGTCCTGGTGAGTTTACCATCCATTACTTTTTGGACTGATTTCAGATGGACTTTTTTTAAACCATCCACTATCCAACTCCCAACTCATGACACGAGTGTGATATAAAGAAATAACCCACRCCAGAGTGCAGAGATTAAATAGCTTGTCAAGAAATACATCATTGAAAAGGCCTGCCCATCTCTTCTGCTTCCAACTGTTTTAAGCCAAAAAAAATGAAACATTGGACACAAGGAACAAGATGTCCAGTGCTGGTTTCAGCAT